TGGGGCTGTTGTGAATAATAGTTAGCATTGATTTAGTTATCTATTTGATTGCTTTAGTTATTTAATTTACAATATGCACTATTTCTTTTCATAGATGGCAAGTAATAAAGGATTTGATGGTAGGAGGGACCTCATTGAGGCCTATGTTGCCCTGCAACATATTGTATCATCCATGAATTATACTTGTGGAGTTTATATAGTCGTTTTGCATGCTGCACTGGAAAGATTTGAGGCTACGAGGAAAATAAGTAGAAATCCTAATCCTTTCAAACAACAACTTGACCACCTAAATAGGTTGGTCAGAGATAATGACATAGATTGCCATGAACAACTACGAATGAATAGGCATACCTTTCTGCGGTTGTGTGGGCTTATCAGAACAAAGGGTGTGTCAGATTCAAAATATGTTGTGTTAGAGGAAAAGGTTGTTATGTTCTTGACTGTGCTTGGGCACCACCATAAAAATCGAAATGTCAAATTCAATTTTATGAGGTCTGGTCAAACAGTTAGTAAGTATTTCAATAATGTCCTTAAGCCTGTGCTTCGACTGCAAGGTGCCTTACTAAAGACACCTGAGCCAATAACTGCTGGGTGCACAGATGATAGGTGGAGGTGGTTTCAGGTAAATGATAGTTTTAGTAATTCTTCATGTTTGATAAAAGTTATAATATTCATAATTACAATTTAATAAGTAATAATTTATTTTTGGTAATTTTTGGTAGAATTGTCTTGGTGCACTTGATGGCACCTATGTTAGAGTGCAAGCTCCTGCAGTAAATAAAGCAAGGTATAGATCAATAAAGGGTGAAATTGCAACTAATGTCTTGGGTGTTTGCTCCCATGACATGCAGTTCATATATGTCTTACCTGGATGGGAAGGTTCCGCTTCAGATTCTAGAGTACTTAGAGATGCCATAAGTAGACCAAATAGGTTGAGAGTGCCAACGGGTACAGCTGCATTTCACAATATCTTTACTATGTATAACCTTTGGACTTGTACTTAAATTATGTGATTATGTAATTATATAATCCTACATTATTACAGGTTCCTACTATCTAGTTGATGCGGGCTATACTAATGGGGAGGGCTTTTTAGCACCTTATAGAGGACAACGTTACCACTTGTCCACTTGGAGGGAAGGGGGTGCCCCAACTAATCCAGAGGAGTATGAAGCACTCTGCGGCTCGTAACATAATAGAGAGATGTTTTGGTCTTCTGAAGCTTAGATGGGCAATATTGAGAACATATTCCTATTTTCCAATCAAGACCCAATGTCGAATTATCACAGCTTGTTGTCTTCTACACAATCTCATCAAACGTGAGATGCCTATGGATCCATTGGAGGTAGACTTAGATGACACATTGCCAAATAATCAAGAAACAGGGAACGAGTACATTGACACAATTGAGGGATCTGACCAATGGAGTAATTTGAGGGACACTCTAGCTAACCAAATGTATAATGAGTGGTTAGCTAATAGGATGTAAAATTAAGTACTATTTTCATTGGATGTAATGTTTTTTAATACTTATGTTGTGTAGTGAGTTGGAGACTTGTAACTTAATAGGATGATGTAGACATGTAACTTATTTTATGTTTCAGTTATTTGTTGAAGACATAACTTAATATGAGTGTTTCTTTGGTTGTCTTAATAAAATTATTGTTCTGTTAAAAATGGTTGCATGTTAGGTATGGATGACACAACTGTTACTAGTGGATGTCGAAAAAAGGGTAAGGGAAAGGCAACTGCTTCCTCATCAAGAGGTCGTAGAGTGTGGAGTCCAAAAGAGTGTGATGTGTTGATTCGAGCCATGAGGGATCTGTTCAGTGAAAAATGGAAGGCTATGAGGGATCTGTTAAATGAAAAATGACAATGGTCAGTTCAGGTGTGGATTTTACTCTGAATTGGAGAAGCCTATCATATTGGCTTTTCCTGGAACTGATCTTCGTGCATCCCCTCATATCGAGTCAAAGATCAAATTTTGGAGAAGATAATACAATTTGCTTACTGACATGCTTCGCTTGAGTGGCTTTGGGTGGGATGACTCTGAGAAGATGATTTTGGTCGACAGTGACCAAGTTTGGCAAAACTATGTCAAGGTAAAAAACTTACCTTAACCATTTTGCATTATTTAACCATTTTGCATTATTTATTAACTAGAAATATAAATTTTGAAAAAATGTTGTTTTGTAGAGGGAGCCAGATGCCAAGGGCATGAGAAATGTACCTTTTATTTACTACGAGGACTGGGTAATTCTCTTTGGCAAGGATAAAGCCACTAGAGTCGTGGCTGAAGGACCTGCTGACATGGTTGATGCCTTAGAAAAAGAGGACGAAACTACTGAGGAGTGTTACACTCCAATTGTTGATCTGCCTGATTGTTCCTTATTAGCATCTGGGACTCCATGCAACCAAGGTGGCTCAGGCACAACTTCTAAGAAAAGAGCTAGGGAAGCTGAAGGTATTGCAAAGGGTCTTGTTGATATGGCTGTTGAGTTTGGTTCCTTCTTCAAGAAAACCAACACTACCATGGAAGAAATTGCTCATAGGATTGGGTATGCCCAAGACTTGTCTCAAGCTAGGAAGCTGGTTAATGGGGAACTAGCCAAGTTGCGACTGAACACGAATGACAGGTTGAGAGCAGCTACCCTTATTGTGAAGGATGCTGAAAGAGTTGATTTGTTCTTTAGCTTGCCTGAAGAAGAAAAAATGGAATGGGTATGTTTGTTGTTGGCTGGGTGTGTTTAAGTGTGTTTACTGTAGGCTAATGACATATATCTATCTATATATTATAATATTAGTATTGCTATTCCTCCTCAGGCACATGTGTAGTGCCTATTTTGCATAGTAATTAGGAGGATTAGAAATATTTTGACAAACTAACTGGTTTACATCCCCTAGAAATGGCTTTTGTACCTAGTTTTAATCTAATTGTTGGGGTTGTAAGTAAGCCGAAGTATGCTTAATATTAGTATTGCTTAATTTTGTTGGAATGATGCTTAATATATTAAGTTGAAGGTTATCTATTGTAAAAAAATGTTATCATTTACTTAGAATGAATGAAGGTTATTTTTAATTATAATGGCTTGGATTATTTTATAAGAATAATGATGTGTGATGAATGAATGAATAAAGATGTTATTTTTTTTCATTCAATGATTATTTTGTAAGATAAAAATTTTTAGAATGAATATTAGTTTTTTTTTTTGGGGAGTAAAATTATTGAATTTAATATAATATAAATTTTTTTATCAGTGGACATTAGTTTAATATAATTTTTTTTTTTTGTTTTGAAAAATTATTGAATTTAATACGAATATTTAATTTGTTCAAATAAAAAATAATATGAAATTTTAATTTGTTGATTTACATTAGTTTTTCCTAATTTGAACAATTTGGTTTTGATGGACATAAGGGCAATATGGGTATTTAAAATATATTATGAGGGTAATTTTGGAAATTACTTGTTTATATCCTGCAATATATTTTATAAAACAAGCATGGATAACATATATCCGGTCTTATATACCAAGTCAACAAACATGATTTGGGGGATATACTATCCAATACATATATCCTATTCATTATATATCCTGACTATATCCCACATCATATTATATCCTCTATTTTATATCCGGTGAAACAAACAAGGCCTAATAGATAAAGATGCAACAGATTTCTTCAACACATTATTTTTGGCACAAACTTTCCTAAATTCATTTGATAGTTCATGGAATGCACTTTCAAGTTCTTCATAAAGAGTAGTTACCTCATCTTGAGTAGAGTCTTCATCTTCAAGAGCCATGAGACATCAGTTGGCTACTTCATTTTCAATTTCATCACTTGAGCTTTCATCTTCACTTTCTCCCCAAGCTGCTACCATGGCCTTTTTGTTTCTTTTGTAGTCTTTTCCATGATTCTTCAATTTTGGACAATTCATCTTCATATGTTCAGGATTTTTGCACTCATAGCAAATAATAGGCTCTTTCTTGTTATCTTTGTTGTACTCTTTCTTGAAAGGTCTTCTTCCTCCATAATTGTTTTTCTTGAAGTGCTTTTTGAGATTTCTACTAAACATGGCATAGCTTTCATCCTCACTGGAGCTTTCATGTTCTTCTTCATTTGATAAGGCTTTGAATGCAATTCCACTTTTCTTTTTGTTTCCAACATTCTCATGTCCTTTCATGGTGATCTCATGAGTCATAAGGGAACTCATAAACTCATCCAATCCAAGTGTGGAGAGATCTTTGGCTTTTATAATGGCGGTGACCTTTGCTTCCCAATTCTTTGGTAAACACCTAAGAATTTTTCTTACCAACTCACTATTAGTATAAGTTTTGCCAAAAGATTTCAAAGAGTTTATAATTTCAGTAAATCTAGTAAACATACTTGAAATAGATTCATCAGAGTTCATTTTAAACAATTCATAACTATGAACAAGCATATCAATACGAGATTCTTTTACTTGGTTTGTACCTTCATAAGTTACTTCAAGTTTGTCCCAAATTTCTTTTGCCGAATCACAACTTGAAATTCTATTATACTCCTTAGAGTCTAATCCACAAATAAGGGTGAGTTTGGCTTTAGCATTGGCTTGCAATAATTTGTGATCCCTCTCATCACATTCATCTTCAGTTTTAGGTACACTAATATTGTCTACTAATTTGGTAGGAATTTTTGGACATTTGGTGACAATAATCCAAATAGCATAATCAGTGGCTTGTAGGTATAGGGTCATCTTATCTTTCCAATGACTATAGTTGTTTCTGTCAAATAATGGCGGCCTATTGGTGGCTTGTCCTTCAGTAATGCTAGTGCTTGCTAAGGTTGCCATGGATTGAAACTCTTAGATGGTTAAATCTAAAGCAAGAGTCTAGGCTCTGATACTAATTGTTACCCAAAAGACAACCTAAGAGAGGGGGTGAATTAGGTTTTTATAATTAAAATTAATAATACCCTAATAAAAATTATGACTAGCACAATAGATAAATATAATTAATGAAATAAAAATAATTAACACAAGTGTCTTAACAATTATGTTAGTTAATGATTTTAGCACAGTAAAAATGTGAAATATAGCTATGGCAATTTAAAATTAAATAAAGAGATAAGGGAGAGAGATGCAAACAAATTTATAGTGGTTCGGCTTCAACTCGGCCTATGTCCACTCTTCAAGCTTCACTTGAGATTTTTCACTATACTCTAACTTCACAGGGTGCTAGCAACCTTTTCACAGATGGAGCAATCCTCCACAGATTTTACACTGACTTTCTAAGTCAAGAACACTGAGTGTACTACACTCTTACAAGGTTGAAAAGAATATGTTTTTGCTTTCACAGAAAGCTACAAGAATTATCTCTCAAAGATAGATATAAAAATGAAGCTCTGGTTTTTCTATAAACCTCACATAGGAAAGATGTGCTTAAAGCTATAAGGCTCACTGTATAATTTCTGAGAATAGGTGTGAGTGATTATAGATCAAAGAATATTTTTAGGTTTTTGTAACTTGTTTACATTAGAGGCTTTGGTATATATAATGATAATGCAGTTCGTCCTGGGTGGATGGGTCGGGCTGGTCCAAGCTCTTCAAGTTCCGATCCAGGCGGATGATTCCACCAGATGACTTGCAAGTAAGTCCAAAGGGGAACGGGGTAGTCCCCTAGTGAACCCTCCGGCGAGCGAATTAGTAGAGGAAGAAGGAAATATATATATATATATATATAGAGAGAGAGAGAGAGAGATAGAAAAGCTTAACCTTCCTCTTGTCTTCGATTCTTGCTTATATCCTTTGATAATCATTTCACTATCCCTTGTGACGTGCCCCGTTCCGCCGAAAGCCTGTGCCGTAGCTTACCTTGTTCAGGGTGAAGGGGCTCTATTCCGACGGGGAGGTGTTGTCGTAATAAATGCTGTGATGGGCTGCATTAATGGTGGTGTTGTGGCAATAACTCTGCAGATCTTTGTCTGCTGATGTGGCCTGTGTTTCACCTGCCATGTGCCCGAATGCCATTGGCCCTCCATGTCCAGATGGCCTCCAGCTATCCTGGGCTTTGCCAACCGGGTTATGCTATGGGTCCCAAGTGATGGGTTTGGGGTGGTTTGCTGCGGGCCGTAAGTGTTGTGGGCCTATCCATGTCAGTAGTCCCTCATTTCCGAATGCAGCTTTAGCCCAACGAAGGGAATAGTAATAAGGAAGAGAGGTGCGAACCGAGTGGAGAGGCCGACCATTAGCCGTGCTGACCGCAAGGGTGACCGAGCGGGAGAAGCTGACCGTGAGGGTGGCCGAGTGGGAGGGGCTGACCGTGAGAGTGGCCGAGCGGGAGGGTGACCGAGGGGGAGAAGCTGACCGTGAGGGTGGCCGAGTGGGAGGGGCTGACCGTGAGGGGTGCCGACCGCGAGGGTGACCGAGGGGGAGAAGCTGACCGTGAGGGTGGCCGAGTGGGAGGGGCTGACCGTGAGGGGTGCCGACCGCGAGGGTGACCGAGGGGGAGAAGCTGACCGTGAGGGTGGCCGAGTGGGAGGGGCTGACCGTGAGGGGTGCCGACCGCGAGGGTGACCGAGGGGGAGAAGCTGACCGTGAGGGTGGCCGAGTGGGAGGGGCTGACCGTGAGGGGTGCCGACCGCGAGGGTGACCGAGGGGGAGAAGCTGACCGTGAGGGTGGCCGAGTGGGAGGGGCTGACCGTGAGGGGTGCCGACCGCGAGGGTGACCGAGGGGGAGAAGCTGACCGTGAGGGTGGCCGAGTGGGAGGGGCTGACCGTGAGGGGTGCCGACCGCGAGGGTGACCGAGGGGGAGAAGCTGACCGTGAGGGTGGCCGAGTGGGAGGGGCTGACCGTGAGGGGTGCCGACCGCGAGGGTGACCGAGGGGGAGAAGCTGACCGTGAGGGTGGCCGAGTGGGAGGGGCTGACCGTGAGGGGTGCCGACCGCGAGGGTGACCGAGGGGGAGAAGCTGACCGTGAGGGTGGCCGAGTGGGAGGGGCTGACCGTGAGGGGTGCCGACCGCGAGGGTGACCGAGGGGGAGAAGCTGACCGTGAGGGTGGCCGAGTGGGAGGGGCTGACCGTGAGGGGTGCCGACCGCGAGGGTGACCGAGGGGGAGAAGCTGACCGTGAGGGTGGCCGAGTGGGAGGGGCTGACCGTGAGGGGTGCCGACCGCGAGGGTGACCGAGGGGGAGAAGCTGACCGTGAGGGTGGCCGAGTGGGAGGGGCTGACCGTGAGGGGTGCCGACCGCGAGGGTGACCGAGGGGGAGAAGCTGACCGTGAGGGTGGCCGAGTGGGAGGGGCTGACCGTGAGGGGTGCCGACCGCGAGGGTGACCGAGGGGGAGAAGCTGACCGTGAGGGTGGCCGAGTGGGAGGGGCTGACCGTGAGGGGTGCCGACCGCGAGGGTGACCGAGGGGGAGAAGCTGACCGTGAGGGTGGCCGAGTGGGAGGGGCTGACCGTGAGGGGTGCCGACCGCGAGGGTGACCGAGGGGGAGAAGCTGACCGTGAGGGTGGCCGAGTGGGAGGGGCTGACCGTGAGGGGTGCCGACCGCGAGGGTGACCGAGGGGGAGAAGCTGACCGTGAGGGTGGCCGAGTGGGAGGGGCTGACCGTGAGGGGTGCCGACCGCGAGGGTGACCGAGGGGGAGAAGCTGACCGTGAGGGTGGCCGAGTGGGAGGGGCTGACCGTGAGGGGTGCCGACCGCGAGGGTGACCGAGGGGGAGAAGCTGACCGTGAGGGTGGCCGAGTGGGAGGGGCTGACCGT